GTCTTATACAATACACCCTTCTTTCTAATAAGCCAAAGACGGCTTTGCTCAGATGGAGTAGAATCTCTTCTGGATCCTGGCAGTAGTAGTTCCTAAGTGTCCTAGAGAAAAATGACCGATACGTCACCAGAAACACTCAGCTGCGTTACAGTATTGAAACTTACATGTGTGCAGGAGTATGCCACTCATGTGAGAACCTTATCACACAGCTCTAAATTCCTAATGCCTTGGGGGGATCACTTTTTGGTATGGCACAGCAGGACTTGGTACTGATGAAATGTTGACATACCTTCATTTATCTTAATAGCTAGGTAATGGTTTAAGGAGTGACCTCAAGGATACAAAGTAGCTTGTCTCTGTTTTACACAACAACAAAACTTTAAACACTTCTTACCCACATAGGAACTTGAATGGCGTCTTCAGAGGCTAGCATTCCTATACTACAATGGAGGTTGGCCGACAGGCTAAGTTTCATAAGTTGCTGTGTTAAAATTTGGGCCTTGTCACATCTCTGCTCATGCGCCATGCATCCTCCAGCGTGTGGTGTGAGAGAACTCTGAGGTGAGGACTGGCCAATTCTTCTCTTCAGAAGGGAAGGAGGGATCAAAGTGCACACTACAGTTCGGTTCTTTCAAACGGTCACAGTCCCATGGACATGGAGGTGTACGCCAGCTCTCAGGAACTAAGGCAGGGGAATTGTAAGTTCAAAGCCAGTCTGGGCAGTAGAGTGAGACTCTATCTTAAAAGATAAAGAGAAAATTTGAACTTACACTCTTTATAACCTCCTCATGGAAAAAAAAGGATCCACTGTCTATGAGAGGCTGGGTATGGTGCCAAATTAATACACAAACTTGGTCATATATGTGCTATCTCACCACGCCCCATATCTCTGAGCTCATGGAGAGCATGGCAAGCCCCACCTTGCTCGATTTAATAGGTCACTACCTTTGGTATAGTTCTTCCCAGGACAAGTTTTTATTCCAAGAAAGAAAGAGACTTGGCTGGCCATGAACTGTCTTGGTTGCCTCAAAATAAATAAATGAATGAATGAATGAATGAATGAATGAATAAATAAATAAATAAATAAATAAATAAATAAATAAAAATCTTCTGTCTGAGAATGGCTCTGAAAAAAAAATCAAAATCTTTCCCTGTATCTAAGTATGACTTGAGATGAGAGGTTGCTGTCGCTACCCCGAGACAGGTCAAGGCTATGCATTTAAGATGAAGTCACCCTCTATTCTGCCTTAGCCTCATCTGTGAGAAAGAGCTGGGAAGTGCCATCCCGAAACACTCTCCTGTGATTTCTTTTCCACGGTGCTACCTGTCACGGCATTAAACAAGGACGGGTTTGGTTATCACCAGCATTATACACCAACCACTGGATAAAACATCTACCAGACAGAAAGAGCATCTGCCAGTTTTTCAAAAATCCAAGAAGGAAATGAGAATTGATGTTACCAAATTAAAATCATCTCCAGCAATGCGTATCCCCAATTGTTTCAGAGTAGAACAGTAAGATCAAATTTGGGCTGCTGTCATTTTACATTAAGAGGCAATCTGGAAATGATACTCAATTTGTAAAATTAGGGAGACGGCCTTCAGAGCAGAAGATATTTTACTCTGAAATTGAATATGCTTTTATTTTCTACCATTATCCACAGGCCACATAGGAGACCCACAGCTTCTTAGTATTTTCTGTGAACTGTTCCACAGACAGCTGAGGCTTCCAGGGCAGAAGGTGACCTTCGGGAAGAACAAAGGTCCTCTCAGGACAGTTACCCTGAAAAGAGAGACCTTGGTCAGAACAGCAATCTGCAGACACGAGGCAGCCTTGCCTCTGACATTCTGGTACCACAGTAACACTGCCTGGGCCTCCAGCATTAGAAAACGATACTCATCTGAGTGGCAGAAAAAGCAGCTTGGGAAAGGCCAGTCAGTTCTGGCTGAACTTGTGACCTTATGTTAGAGCTGTGATCCTGCATAGACCTCAAAACACCACTTGTCTTTCTAGGCCTGTAGAAGGAACCCCCCCCCCACTAATGTTCTAACTGGGAAGGTCTCCCCCTACCCCAGGGCGATTATAGGAACAGAACAATCTTACCACAAGCCTACCTGGAGTAGTAGGAAGACAATCACTGTGGCACAAGCAGGAAACTGATCTCTCAAGACTAGCTGTGCATCGGGTATATGGGCACAGTCCTTTCATCCCAGCACTCATGAGGCTGAGGCAGAAGGATGAAAAGTTTGAGACCAGCCTGAGACACACAAGACCCTGCCCCCAAACAAAACAAACTCAAGCTGTAGGCTTGCTCAAGGTGGCTGGCAGCCAGGAGCTAATGACCCAAGTCTCGTCATTTGACTTTTCCATCCACTATTGAGGAAACCAAGGATACAACTTAAGCATGGTTCTAGCTACTTCTCTCTCACTGTCTAGCTACATACCCTGAGTAAACCTCAGATTCTTTGTACCCCAGTTTCTCATCTGCAAAGCGGGTGCAATCCCTATCCTACTTTCCCCAGAAAGGGATTTGAGGAACAGAGGGTGCCCGGTCCTTACCTTCTTTGCTCATTCCAGAAGAGGAATAGAGGCCTTGCTACTGGAACAACAGAAGAATAAAGAGTGGATGGTAAGCGGTGGAGCTTCGCAAAAGCCAGAAGCTGGGACTTACTATCTGCCTATAACTCTAGCTCTTGTCAAATCAGCTAACGTCTGTGCATCTCCTCTTTCCCCGGCTGCACTGTGGTTGGGCAGGGACATCTGGGGTACTTCTCTGCTTTAGTCTATCAGGCTTCTATATTAATTCTCTCTTCTTGCATCATGCTGCCTCTAAGACCCCTTAACTTTACTCTCCAGAAATGAACGGCTGGATCATGTAAGTGCTGTAAAAAGGCTGGGTGTTGCCAAATCAGGGTGACACATTTGTACTCCCACTGCAATTCCTTTTATCATTTTTTATTTTTTTAAAGATTCTTAGGAGCCTGCAGCAGCTTAATAGAGTTAAAAACACCAGGCAAAACAGAATGGTGAAGTGGGAGTTTAATTATTTTAGGAACTAGTAAGACATTGTTGCTAGCCCACATTGAGGCACTCAGCAAGACTCATTACTCTGTGTAAAACTTGACAGAGACAACCCTTTCTGAGGTGTTCCCAATCCAGGGATCATCAGTCCTGGCCACAGCAGCAAGTGCCATCCACTTAAAGCTTCTGTCACTTAGATTTGGAGAAGAGAAGTGGGGGGTGGGCATTCTCAGATAAAATGTTGGGCAGTGATTTAGAAGGGAAAGCCAGGGACACAGTGGGTGTCACCCTGTCTCCATTTTACCACACCAAAGTAAGATGTAGAAACTTAATAGAAAAACAGCCTCATACCAGAAGGAGCTAGGAAGAGACTCTTTAATGGACCTGAAGAAAGTTTTAGAATTTTCTACCTGGAGATATTCGTTATTAAGGCTATGTCTCTCATAAAGTGAAGAACTTTCTTTGCACCAGAGTAACAGGAAAGCACTCTATTTCCATACACCTTAGAAACACACACACACACACACACACACACACACACACACACACACACACACACACACCACAGAGCCCATTTAATGTTTCTCTTATGTACATGTGTTTAGGGCTGAACACTTGGAATTGGACAACTCAGGGTGCTCAACCATGCAGAAGACTAATTTCTTCTCTCTCTCTCTCTCTCTCTCTCTCTCTCTCTCTCTCTCTCTCTCTCTCTCTCTCTCTCCCTCTCCCTCTCCCTCTCCCTCTCCCTCTCCCTCTCCCTCTCCCTCTCCCTCTCCCTCTCCCTCTCCCTCTCCCTCTCCCTCTCCCTCTCCCTCTCCCTCTCCCTCTCCCTCTCCCTCTCCCTCTCCCTCTCTCTCTCAGCAGCCATGGATTGCCTGTATCTCTTCAGCTAGGGGTGGGATCTTATGGGATTTCCTCACTCACATTGGCAAGTCAACTGGTGGCGTCATTGTGCAAGTCTTGTTCAGATGACCACATTGTTGGGATTTCAAGGGTGCACTCCCCCGTCACACAATGAAGACACTGTCTCACAGCAAATGTTTCTACTCCCTCCTCTGCGCTGTTCTTGAACCTTAAGTACAGAGGTTTCACTGTAGAAGTAACAACTACAACTATGTAAACCATGACATACATGTATTCTCTGAATTTTGATAAGTTTTTGGATCTCTGTGATAGCCTCCAAACAGAAATATTCTTAAGGAAACCCTATGCCTGATTCCTTGCACTATAACCACAGCTAGCATACTTCTTATCTACCTTATGAATTAATTCACTCTAAGGATTTCAGTCTCCTTCAGAGTTTCAGTCAGTTAATAGTCATGTAAGCATGATACTGAAAATTTCTTTCTCTGAAAGTTAGGGTTCAAGTGGGAGAGTAAGGAATGGTGAGTAATTTGAGTCTCAAACTGAAATCTCTTGCTAGCAAATGCTATACTGTCTTCATCATTCAGAGGGAACCCGACCTTAAGAAAAGGAAACACATAAGAATGAATCCTGATCGCATGGCAATAAAATTTTATTAATAAATCAAAACGTTAGACAAAAGGCAAACATTGGGACCTGTGTTGGTCAAGAGTTGGCTGTATGTAGCCTGTGCAGAGTGGATTTTTGTGAAGGAGGGAGTTTTGGATCTGAACTTTGGTTCGCATCTCAGAGCATTCACTTGCAGTATTTGCTAGAATCACAGTGGGACACATCAGATGTATATTTTTCTTTTTTACTTTCTTTTTAGTTCCTTGGAGGAACCTGGCACCTAGGATACTGTAAAGGGAAAATTGAAGCTCATTTCTGCATCTAATTTATAATAAAAAGACATAAACGTTATTTGTTTTTCAGGGAATTATTTCATTCTTTTTCCTCCCCGGTGGGTTTAATAATTAAGCCTCACTGAAAGAAAAACTAAAAAGCTCAGTAACAGATGTGTTATTTCCTGACAAGTGCACTGAGCTGTGTCTTTGGTTTTTTTTTCCTACAGTCTCTGTGGACAACTGATCCCTGATGCTGCCTTTGTTTAAAGACCAAGACATTTTGTTGTGCTGCTATTCCAGCCTGTGATTCCTGCCGCTGTCATCATGAAAAGGCAATGCCAATTTCAGCAGTCTTAAGCCCGGTGTGAAACTTTTGTGTGCATCTACTCACACCACGCCACACCCCCCATTTGTAGAGATGTCTGGGGTTGGCCCTTCCTCTGGATTTGCAGGAAGTGTGGACAATGGAACTTTTCTGGAGCTGTTTCCCACGTCGCTATCCACATCGGTAGACCCGTCCTCGGGCCACCTCTCCAATGTCTACATCTATGTGTCCATATTCCTCAGCCTCCTGGCCTTCCTGCTTCTGCTGTTAATCATTGCTCTCCAGAGGCTGAAAAATATCATCTCCTCCAGCTCCTCCTACCCGGAGTACCCAAGTGATGCTGGAAGCTCTTTCACCAATTTGGAAGTCTGTAGTATCTCCTCTCAGAGGTCTACTTTTTCAAACCTCTCATCGTGAAGAAAATGGAAGGATAGTCTGAGTGAGCACGGCTTTGGTTTCTCCATACAGAAGGAACTGCTTCATGACAGAAATGACTGTTCGGGCTGGCTTGTGTTCCTCATCATTTTTTATTTCTTTTCTGCTCAGGATGTGTTTCATTTATGAGAGGAGGAGCCAGCGCTGACAGAAATGTAGGTAAACGTTGAAGTGTGGGATTCTGCCCAAAGTTCTTGGCCAACATGGAGGCTGGTCAGCTCTATGCTGGACGCCACGGACTCAGTTGAGGACTGCTGGGGATGCTAGTTAGAGGCTCTTCTACACTGCCTCTTCCAAAGCCCTGGGACTAACTGAGCCAGCAGAAATGTAAAAAAAACAAAACAAAAACAAGGAGACTATTCAGAAGATATTTTCTGTATTTAAAAGATAAAGCAGAGACGGCATATGAGAGATAGAGGGAGGGGGGAGAGAGAGAGAGAACTTAGATTTAACATATAAAGTTTCCAAATGGAGGTTAAAATAGGCTAAATGTTTTTCTCTAGTTTCACCTTAGCAAATGTCACAGACGAAGAGAAGAAGTCATTTGGGAACGTTCTGGGGGAGTTGAAAGCTTCAACAGCGCAGGGAAAGTGTGTCGCCTTGCAGTTGCACTGCTTTTCTGCTCCTGGGTTTGCTCTGGGCTTCTTTTGCAGTCATCATGCTCTCCGGCTATGGAATCCTTTGTGGCAGTTGCTGTTGCCATTACTAAATGAAGCACAGAAGAGGCGCAATTCATTTTTAGTTCCTTACTATCGTTTCCATCCAGTAGGAATTAAACGTAGAGAAATATTTGTTCCGTTGAATTTTATAGAGTAATACTCTTAGCGGCTGTGTGAGCCTTCACTGCATCTGTCTTTAAAGCTTTCCTGCAGAACAACATTGTCTCTAGGGAGGCAGGTATTTGCTCACCCTAGTTTGCAAACCTTGGGGACTATATTGCTGATATTTGTGTCACACTCCATGAACGTGATGTGTCTCTGATAACTTGTTTATGTTGACAAAATACTCTGCACTGGGTTTCTAAGGGTGAGAGTTTATGCTAAAAGCTGCAGACACTGCAGTTGGGTCGCTGCACATACTTCTGGGCTGCTGGAAGCTACTATACTGAAGCCAACCACGGGTGTCCCTGAGATGAGGCACAGCTGTGAGCACAAGCATGGTGTGTGCAGGGAATCGAGAAAGGCCAATTATAGCTTCTTATGGATAAGAACTTAAACTCAATTTTTTAAAATAAATGGCCCACAGCCTGAACACTGAGCTGGGTAAACCCTGGGTGCCACTGTGCCAATACACTAGTCTTTCTTGGGCAAACCAGTTATCCCCTGTTCAAAAATTTAATAATCTTAAACACTGGAACTTCAACGCGTCCCTTGGATGGACTGTGCAGTCAGAACTCCCCAGGGACAGGAATGGAAGAAAGAGTTCAATATTTTACAGGCCCTGCCTGACAGCCAAGGCATGTGGAGGTTTGGAAACTGGAAAGGAAGATCAAAAGCTGCTTCCTTCTTTTTTACTCCACAATCAAATCAGGACATACTTAGCTACTTACATATCAAAACCATCCACAGACACCACTGGACCAGGACAGATACTGTCCTAAAATGCTGTCACTGAAAGTGTGACTCAATGCATCGTAGAGTCTTAGAGAAGTTCTGCATTTGGGCGGTTATTGCCATTCTCTGAGTTTCTGTGGGCACATGTACACATGTAACGGTATACACACAGTGTGTACACACAGCTACATGTATGTCTGCACATATTTCCAGGGGAAAGTTATGTGACAGCTATCAGGATTACAGAAGCATCAGTAATGTTACTGCTACTCTTTTGATTATTCTTGTGCTATTTTGGTCCTGAGGTTATTGGTTAAAGAGATTTTAATGAGTGAAAAGACAAACATCTCATATGACAGACAACCTGGTTAGGCCTTGTTCTGGGGAGGGAGCTTTCTATCCTTTTCTACTGGAATAGATTCAAAGACTTCAGGCAGGAAAACTACTTAAGTCAAATCCCCTCACCTCTGCAGGCACACTGCCCCAGCCACATGATTTCTGCTCCCCATGATAACTGGAATAATTACCAGCAAGAAGCAAAGATAGAAAATAGGAGTCACCACTAAACACTGTACCAGTTGAGATGAGTTGGTCTCATTGGAAAGGTTCAGAGAGACTGGAAAGCAGGTCTATGAATAAAGAGGTGCAGTCTGTTGAAAACCCGACTTCTTGTTTTGTTCAGCGGCTTACTCTCCCTAGAGAAGACACCTCACCTAAGAGTTCTAAGTATACCTATAGAATCTGTAGCCATGTAACATTCATATACTAAATGCCTATGGGGGCTGGAGAGATGGCTCAGTGGATAAGAGAGCTGGATGCTTTTCCAGAGGACCTGGGTTCAAGTCCCAGCACCCGTGGTGGGTGGATCACAACTACCTGTAATTCCAGCTCCAGGGGATCTGACGCCATCTTCTGGCCTTAGGCACTCACACACACAGCACACACATGTACATTCTATATAGTGTATCTATGGAGTGTGTGGACGTGTTTCGATGCATATCACCACTGCTTTCCCCTAACGAAGAATCAACAATGTATGGCCTAGTGCCAGCCTCTCCTCGTCACTCCCTCTTGGCAGTGGGGGAGTCTCAGATTGGCCTAATGAGAATTACTTCACAAGAATACTTGGAAATTCTATAAGTTCCTGCCAAATCAAGCATCTAAAAGTCACAGAAGGCCCCAGGTGCTGAGGAGGAGGAGGACGAGGAGGAAAACCTCTCTCTTCTCCACAAGCTCCAGGAGTAAGGCAGTAATTATGGCTCACATATACTTAGGAAGAGAACTTTGCTCTCAGGCACTGCCCACCTAACTGCAGTGTCTCCAATCTGAGCACTGGCCCACCTGCCACCCACTCCCAGACCTACTTCAACCTCCTCTCCAGCTGGAGTATGGAATCCAGGCCACCCTCCTAAGCATGGGGGAATGCTGCTATTGTGGTGGGTTTGGAGGGAAAGAAGTGAGCAAGGTCCTCTCTCTCTCATCAAATCCCTTTTTTCCTACCATTCTACCTTCACAAGACGAAGCATTGTAGCAGGCTAGAGGATTGAAGGGGTTTATTTGATGAGACAAAAATATGTACATTGTATACCAAGACACTCCCACAGCCTACAGAAGAATCACACAATGACAGGACAGTTGAATCTTCAAAGACAAACACCAGTTTCGGTTGATGTCCTGCCTTGATATCAGCTTCCCACTTGTCACCAACGCCAGGTCCCACCTCTTCATTCTTCATTACCCTTGGGGGTTCATCTCCATCAGTCCAATGCACAGCACCTCAGCCTAAAGACTGAGTATTCAAGAGAGATTGCTCCTCATTGTTTGTGGAAAGACTAAGACACCACCTCAATGCTTAAAGCCCTCTCAGCTCAACTTAACCCAGCCTTCCATGGCAAACAGAAGTTACTTCCCCTTCGTGGATCCTTCCATTTCAAATAAATGCCCAAGCCACTAACATGCTATGAAACACTTCCTGTTCATACTGATTTTATTTTATTGTGTTTCTGACCTTTCTTCTGATGGCAGAGACCTCATCAAACCACCCCAAGTGTAGGTTTTCTTTTTCTTAGCTGGAGTCCACACTCCGTAGGAGGTATGTCATCCTGAACACTGTAAGAAATGGTTAGCAGGCATTTATGAAATAGATGGATGCATCCTTTGGTGCTGGATGGAGCAGACAGACGTAGCTCCTGCTCTCCTGAAACATGAAATCTAGTGAAGCAAGTACTCAGAACAACATGAAAAAAGAAATATATACAGTTGTAGTGTCTGTGAGTGCAACTGAGAAAAAGCAGTTGTGAAGTGACAGACCCCGAGGGAAATTCACGTAGGAAAATACTTGAAGACTGTCAGAAAGAGTCTCTGAAAAGAGAGGGGAATACACAAAATCCCTATGGTAGGGAGAGCCGTGGCCCTTTCAAGCACAACAGTTAGTGCTGGAGTCTGAGATGTGATATTGGAAGGTGGGGGGGGGGGGTCAGGTCAACCAAGGTCTCATAGTTTCATAATTGAATTTATGTTTAGGAAAGATTACTCTAATTTCTTTGTGGAAGAGAGACCAAAGATGGACAAAAAGTCCTAGTCAGATGCATTCGGGGTGGGATACGGGAGTGGGTGGAGAGTTGTTCTGTCTGCTACAAATATCTGCTCGTCTGCTAGCCATGGAGACAGCCTGAGCTAAGAGTGAGTTTCTCACGCAACCCATCCCTCCTACACTAATTGTTTCCAATCCTACCCCCCATACACACACACACACACACACACGCACACACACACACCTTCTTAGACTCCCTGCTCCTCTCCCGACTTGTCCCCAGTTGGCCCTTATTTAAAGTCTTTCAATCATTTTCAGTCCACATGGCAACTCTTACTCCAATATTTTTAACATGTTGTATGACTAATACTTCCAACAAAACTCTAATGCCACAGTAAAGTTGCATCATTAAAAATCTTTGCAAAATTCCATTTCTAAACAAGCCATTGTTCTTTGTACCCTAGAAAACCCACCCCTTATGATTCCAGCCTCCTGTAGCTCAATACTATTTTGAGATGTGCTCTCCTTGGTTATCTGCCTGCCCTGTTAATTAATGCTAGCCTTCTTAGACGGTGGGATCAATCTATACAGGCATTTATTTAAATCCCTAAGCTTCAGGTATTCCCTCTGTGACCTCAGGTAACATGTCCTGAAGCTCCAGATCTTGATAACATTAAGAAGTAATGATGTTTTTAAATGCTGTGTGGATTCAAAGAGAGCCATATGTGAACTGACACCCTACTGTTTAGTACATGGTAATATATGCATGTGTCAAGCCAACATCACTTTGAACATTTGGCTTTGGGGGTTCAAATCTTCCCACTGTATCTTCCTACCGCCCACTCTCTGTTTTTCTCCACCTAATTCCTCTCCCCTTCTTCTTTCCTTTGTACACCTAACGTAACCTTTCACATGCTGAGCCTTGTGTCCTGCTGTCATCTTCCAGCTTTAGCCTATCTCTAGTCTCCCCCGTGGCCCCAGCATAGATATATGGGGAAAAACAGAGGGTTTCCTGCAGCCCTTTCTCCCAAGGTGTCCACCCAATTCTTCAGCCTATCCCCTTCCCATGGACCGTAGGTGATGCTCATGGCTCACATGAAAGCAGAATTGGTGAGGAAACATCCAAGCTCACAGAATTTTGTTGAGTGCCCTGCAGTTCAGAAAGCATCACCAGTATGCTGGGGAGGGTGGGGGTAACAAATAAACTGGCCCTGACTCTGGAAAAGTCAGCTGGGGTAAAGTGTTATGCTCTTCAAAAGTTTTGCCAGAGAAGCTTCTTTTTGCAGGAGGCAAGGATTAATGTGTACTGAGAACTGCCCATGCACTAGGAATCAGCGACCGAAAGTTTAGCACCAATGGAGCATCTATATCAGGGTTCAGGGCTCAGGGAACATTGTGGAAGAGGAAGCAAGAAGGATGTAGGAGCCATGAATTGGGGAGGAGTGCTGTAAAATGCTGTGAATTGAACATTACATTCATGAACTCATGGAAATTATGGTTGCCTGTACAAGACCTGTACAAGATCAAGCCTGTCAAAACTCCAGCATAAATGAGGGAGGGACTCGGAAGGCCCCACACCTGGTGAGGACCTATTGGCAGTTAATGGCTGCTGGGGGGTGGGAGAGTCATTTTCTCTTGGGGGGTGTGGCCCCTGGTAGTTGTTATTCTCCATATGGGCAACACTAACTGGACTCAGTAGGTTATAAAAAATAGCAGTAAAATGAAGAGAATGTAAAGCTGTGAGGTAGACATGTTGGAGAGTTCTAGAAGGAATTAGAAGAAGGATATACATATATTCATATATAAACATATGCAAATTTCAAATAGTAAATAGAATGATATTTTTTAAGTTGGTGGAAGAATGATGATAAATGAAACATTAGAATTTACAATAGGTCTAAGACCAGTATCAGGATATACTTGCTTTAAAAAGTTAGGCTATTGCTTTCTTACCTAATTGAGGGTATAGATCCTAAGAGCCTCCCTGCTCACTGACATGCGAGAGGCAAAACTAAGCAACACTGAGTAAGGACTCTTGCTTCTGTAGTGTGCACACAAAACCATCTCAGCCTCATGGGCAACCCAAGGAACATGCCTGTACCAGGCTTTTTCTTTTGGACCACGAACCAGCTCCCAAATCACGACACAGAGACTTAATATTAGTTATGAATGCTCAGCCTAGCTTAGGCTCATTTCTGGCTGGCTCCTTTAAACTTAACTTAATCTGTTTCTCTTTATCTACCTTTTGCCTCAGCGCTTTCTACTTTTCTTTCTTCTGTGTATCTTACTTTCACAGCTTCTCGTGACTGGCTAGCTGGTGGCTGCCTGGCTTCTTGTCCCAAGTGTGCCCCTTCATCCTCCCACATTCTCCTCTCTCTTAGAGCCTAGATTTCTCCTCCCATTTATTCTCTCTGCCTGCCAGCTCTGCCTATCCCTCTCCTGCCTAACTATTGGCCGTTCAGCTTTTTGTTAGACCAATCAGTTACCTTAGGCTGGCAAGGTGAAACAAATGCAACACATCTTTACGTAATTAAACACACATCCTTATATCATTAAACAAATGCAGCATAAACAAATGTAACACACCTTTACACAGTTAAAGTAATATTCCACAACACATGCCAGCACACACATAAAAGACACATTTTAGGGTTCCCATCCTGGAGAAGATTGATTTTTTTATGACATGATAAGCAGTCATTCATTTAGCAACTATCTATTGAACACCTGCTGCATATCAACTATGTTTTTGGATTGGGCGTTAAATAAAACACACAAAAACCCTTAAAGAATTTTACATTTTGGTAAATTTACACAATAACAAAACAAGGAGGCAAAATATACAATATGTTTTATATCTGTCAGGGACCAAACATGAACCATGGAAAAGTACTAGCTAGGCCAGAGAACAAGCCACAGGCCCTAAACCAGATGCCCCCAAAGATAAAGAACATCCTGTGGTCAGGTAGCATAGCAACAGAACAATGGACCCTGACCAGTGACCTTATCACCTAGCACAACATCCTGCAGCTTCATGACCTGCATGTCCCCCCCTCAGCTGCACATCCCCCCTCAGCTGCACATCCTGCATGTCCTGCACCCCTTTCCTCCTTCCTGCCCCCTTCCCCTCCC